ATGTTCACGTCTACTTGCTGATTCCACTCCTCCTCGTGAAGGTTCTTCATACACCTTATCACCCAGATACCCGCGTTGTTCACCAAAATATCTACGGGACCCAGGGTGCTTTCCGTGTGCTGAATAAGCTCCTTCACCTATGCGGAGATATTTAGAATTGTACTCTTTCAATGCTTGGTTTTTTAGATTATCATTATCAATAACAATATAACCATTTTAAGAATACTTTGGACAACTTCATTTTAAGGACCCCCACTATTCAGGTACCGTAGTCTTGCCATGTAAAGAACAACGTTGCTTTCACTTTGAAGAACAGTACCGGAAGATGCCGCATAGAACTCGCCGCCTTTCCCTCTCGTTAATCCCGAACAAATCTTTTTCTCTGATTTATTTCTTGAAATTATATAAATATTGCCAAACGCGAATATTTGCGAAAATTTCCTGCCCCAATTCATAACACGACTGGCATCTCGTTCATACACAATGTTACCCCCTTTTTACCTCAGCTCTGTTCATAACATCGCATTTCACTGCTAGAGCCACGCCTCCTTCCTTTGAAATTTCATCCTGGATTTCTTTTAACAAGTTCTCCCGCCTTGCTGCCATGGCAACCTTGGCACCAGCAGCAGCCAGTTGACGAGAGATGGCAGCACCGATGCCACTAGAGGCTCCTGTTACCACGGCAACCTTTCCAGAAAGAGGTTTGTCATCTGAAAAATGTATTGAATTTTCTGTTTAATGAATAAAACTTAATTCAAAGCCTTCTAATTTGATATCATTGACTGGCGGCACACCAGCTGTTAGAATTGAGCAAATTTAGGGTCGAGAGCAAGCGTACGATGAGTACAGCAGAGAACCTCTTTGTACCAGTACATGTACACACACTGGACAAAAGAAGTGTCACCCCCTGAATCAGAGTAATCAAAGTTATAATGTCTGGTCTACTTATAATGTGACCAATGAGCATAAAACCGCTGTACCATAGAATTGTATTGTTAGTCTTTTTGTGAAATTTGATGTTAATAAAATGATACCAGGAGCGTATCATTCAACAGTCATTTATCTCCCCCAAAGTATTGGTTCAGTAAGGGTGACACTTCTATTGTCCAGTGTGTGTATATAGGAGGACCTTGATGAAGACGACGTAAATAACATCATTTTTACTAGTAAAGGAACTTCAAAACTTCTTACTCAATACCCCATGTGGAAACATAAATCATAAAAAGTGAAGCGTTATAACTTTAAGTTTTTTAAAGACACAACAACACTCGCTATGATGACAGTATTCGCAAAATAATTTCTTCTTTTTTATTATTTTTTCCTTACTTTGCTTAAATACGCATTATAACATGTAGACTAATTCCTTTAATTTGTTCCTACAGAATTTTCCGGGCAGGGCAAAGGTTTCCGTATGTACACTGAACAAAAATATAAACGCACGAAACTAAAATGGTCAGTTGGTGGCCATAGTCGTTATTAGTATCTGTGACCCCCATGGTGAGGTTGATGCCCTAACTCTTGGACTATGCATTTAAAGATGCATACAAAGTCAATTTTTTGTCACAAAAACCAACCAAATGCCAGCATATAGTTTCAAGTAGTATAACTAAGAGAATTACCAAAAGGCATTGTTTAATTTTACCCGAAAATGATGTTTGAACGGATTTTTCTGCTGGCATTCTAAGCTGCATGTCAATGGGGCAGGAAAGTAGGTCATGAAAGTACATGTAGGTTAAATTTACAACCAAAAATTTAAAGAAAGGAGCAGTCTAAAGGTCTTTTATGGCTGATCTAGTGATCTATTCAGTTTATCCCTTGGCATGTCGAATTAATTCGAGTCATATAAGAATCTAGTAGAAGTGGTTTACATGTGTTACTGGGAATCAGCGCTCCACCGATGCTCGGTTCGTATGTACCTTTAAACTTCCTGTAATGTTCTCAAAGTGATGTCTATTTGTTGAGGAAAATATGCTGTTATTGTTGGATATATACTCTAGTTCCATACATGAAAATAAATCAACATATTCTTTCATACGTTTATATTTTTGTTCAGTATACATGTACCGTATAGCTAAAAAAAAACACGACTATTGGTACGCGTATGATCGATAACTGATTTAATTCTCGTAAGATTACCATCCGCCCCCTTCCTTATGAATAGGTATTACTTTATTAATACAATGCAACCGTCGTGTAGCCGCATGTTAGAAGACAATGTTTGATTACGCACAGCAGTAGGAGGCCGCTACCCCTTCCCAGCAAGGAGTCAACACAGCAGCGCGTAACCCGGGGTTAATTAGGGGTTATTAGCTGTCCACTTATGATCGGTATTGTTCGTCTTGATTGCAGCACACTTCCTACTCACTATTGGTTCGACCGCCTCTTCTTTAAATGCTCTCTCAAACCTTTCCTCAGTCAGCCGAGAATGGAAACACGTTTATCTGCCGATAAACT